TCATATGTGATAAATTGTTTAATAAATATTAATGAGTATTTAACCAAGAGTGTCAAAAATCTTTTATAGCTGTATGGAATGATAAATGAATTGAGGTAAAGCTGTTGAGTATAAGATTTTTGTAATAGTCAGAAGGTATTAAACTGATATTAAGCTTCTTGATATCGCATAAGAAGGCAAGAATCCAGTCTTTATAATTCTTGAAATTGTTAAAAGGCTATTCCCATAAGGGGAAGACAGAAAGCCACTTATTAGTTTGAAGCTGATAAAGATAAATACAAGTAGTTAAACTCAGAAGGCTTGTATCATTTAAAGAGTTTAATAAAGCATTACTGAATACTTGTATATATCTATAATATAAATGAGTGATTCTGTAAAAGAGTTTTAAATAAAAGATACTTGATGATGTATCTCTTAAAAGATGAAGCTTTTTCTTCAGAAGGGATCTAAAGGGTCTAATAATGTGATTTGAAGTCATTTCAGAAAGGTAGATCAGTTGTATATAATACTCAACATAAGATATTACGACTATATTAAATGAATAGATTAGTTATTTATTAGTAAGTTTTTTTTGTAATAGAATAGCAACTGTAGATTTGACATTCTGTATAGCCTAATTGATAGTAAACATTTTATTATTTTGAGTGAGATCTAAACTCTAAGATAACATACTAATTTTTTTGGCTTATTAGCAATTATATTCTGAACAGATCCATTAACATTTGTTTATATGGTATGAATATCAGGCAAGTTAATTAACAGAATTAATTTAAACCAATTGATTTTAATACTATTAAGTTCATAGAAACTGTTTATAATATCAATAATATTATTAAGATCTTGTTTTGATTTAGCAATCTGTAATGTGTCATCTATGTAAGCTAATATAAAGATTTTACATAAAAGTTCACTAAGAGAGCTAGTATAACATTAGGTTTCCATTTTGTTGATATAGTATAATTTAGGTTAGATGATTGCACTTTATATAAAAGAGGATCATAATATATGTATTAAAGAAGAGGTGAGATAATTTCTCCTTGATCTATGCCTGAGAAGATTTTATATATATTTGTATTACCAAAGGAGATAAAAATTTGGTTTTCATATAGAATGAACATATTAAGAATAAAAAAAATAAATTCTTTAAGCATTCTAATGCTCTAACTAATATAAAAACATTCATATAGTCATAAGCTTTGACATGTCTTGTAATAAAATTTACAATTTTTTTTTATTCAATAAAGTGTTATATTTTATATTATCAAAAATGTGCAGGGGCTCATATGTAGATCAAAAAGGAAGTCCTGCAAAATTATGACCTTTTAGAATATTATTTTAAACAAAAATTGTTAACAATCGTCTATTGATGAGTTTGATAAGTACTTTTCTCAGACATTCTAGCAATGTGATCAGTTGAGTATTATTAAAGTTGAGTTCTCATAGTTTTAGTTTAGAAATCAGGTAAATATAAGCTAAGTTCTAATATTGAGATAGCAATGATAATTTTAAACAGCTACATATTAGATACCAGAAAGTTTTTTTAACTAAAGGGTCTAAGTATTTAAGGATTTCATTTGTTATTTTAAAAAGATCAAGTGTTTTGCCATCAGTAAGAGATTGATAATAGAATACTACTCATCAGCTAAAAGAGATAATATAAGATCATCATAAATACTAAAATAGATACTATTAATTGGAAAATAGGCTGAGTGCCATTCTTCAGAAATTTTTTTATTTTCATAAGTGATGCCAGTAGCTCTTTGAAAGTGGTTATTGACAGTTTGTTTAATCGAATCTTTATCAGTGAAAAGTTTTTGTGCATTTCTTAATAATCATCTATTGAGTATAATGGTTTTTCTTAAATGATTTAAAGCAGAGTCTAATATCTTTTCAGGTTAGTATACATAGTCATCTAAACGTTGGTTAAAAGTGCATTGTATTAATTGCAGTTTATAATTTTTTTTATGCAATTTAGTTTTATAAAATAACATTGATTAACAATTTTGTATCTAAAATAAGAAGGTTTTTGAAAGTAAATGAAAACTCAGTCGTGGGTGAGCAGTGACAAATACTAATGAATTAGCTATGTTAATATAATTATCATATATTTGAATCCAAGATAGGAGAAATGAATTGTTACTTTTGATCTTAAGTAATAATTTATTGAATTTTTGTAAACATTTTTGATATGCATAAAGTTTTGAAAGTATTAAGGGTCTAGAATATTTGAATTATCCTGATAATTTTTGACTGAAATGACTTTTTTAGCTATTTTGATTATTACATCTTAAAATTAGTCCCAATGTTTATTAAGCAGAAATTATGTTTAGAATATATTTGAGTTAATTGTTTTAACTAAACTTCTATTTAAAAGAATATCAAATTTATTTTCAAATTTGCCCATTTAGCATTGTCTATTTTATTACAGTCAAAACTGATCTTTGTTGGTATTTTCCTTTTGTTAAATTTAATATTCAGAAAATTTGTAAAGGTAGTGACAACAGAAACGTGATCAGATATATCTACTTCTAATGGAATAGTGAAACAATCTAATATATTTAGAAACAATTTAGCAGAAGTTCATATATAATCGATTCTTGAAGAGACATAGCTTAAATTATAGAAAGGAAAATTGATTCTCACGCAATTATGTTTGAGTGTGAAAGAGTCAAAAAATAACATTCTATCTAAGTAGTCAAAGTATTTAAAGGTGTTCATTAGGTTGTATTTCTGTCTATATCTGTATTGAAATCTCTTAAGACGACCATATGAAAATTATTGGTTGAAGCTTTTCTAATCCATTTCATTAATATGTGTTGTATATCATTTCTAGTCTTAAAGTCTGCTAGTAATAAATAGCAATTAATAATGTAAAATTTTTATTTATTTGCAAATTGCAGATCTATATAAATGATTCTATTAAGTTTTATATCATATTTGAAGACATGGTGAGCAATTATTTTTTTTAGTATTTGGCTTATACTGAATACTATTTTTTGTTTAGACATTGAATTGAAGAAGGATATAAATACTAAATGTGAAGGGTTAAAGATTTTATTATATTGTAGATTGAAATTTGTCTCTTAGAGACTAATAACGTATATATTGTATAAAAATATAAGGATAGTAGGTGATGTTGCTTAGCAATATTGGTAAATGATCTAATATTATGTGTTATAAAGGAAAGTTTTAGAATATTAATGGTAATAATATTCAAATAATTTTATGAAGAGGAAGAAATAATGTTTAAATCTGTAGAGATAGTAATCATAAAAAATATCTTTTAAAATTGGGAGAGGTTAGTGAGAGCCTTTTTTGTTTCTGTATCATATGCAGTACTAAGTGCATATATTATTTGGGTCTTATCTATTAGAAACAAATTATTGTAAATGAAGACTGTATAGAAGGTATTATAGGAGTTGACTAAAGTATTGATTGTTTTCATAAAGTTCTTCAGATGTAAATTTTGTGTATCAGTAATTTTTTTAATGCTGCAATGATTCATCTTTATTTATTTATAACTGATATGAAGACGTTAATAATAGAGCTATCTTCATAATATTCTATATCGTAGTATTTTATAGTATCCTTTTCAAGAAAACTGATTTTGATGTTGAGTATCTGTTTGATGATATCTATTCTTTTCATAATGGAGTTAAGGTAATTGTGAGATTGTCTAATTTTTGGATTAATTGTAAAAAACTTACTTTAATAAAATCTTTAAAATCAACATAATATCTTTTCGTGCATAAAACTATCAGATTTAGTATCAGAAAAAATGTCACATAGCTTGCTTTAGAGATTATAATTCTGGTAATTATGATATTCTATATTAGGAGGAATATCATCACTCCAGGAGGTAATTAGTTTATTAAGCTGTTTATTAGTGTTATTTAATTCTTTATTATTATTTTATTAGTCAAAATCTAGTATGATTTGACTGAAAGTTTAAGTTTCTCTTTAATGCCTTCTGTGATAACATTTACAAATGTAATATTAGAACTAGTAACACTCTAACGAGGATGAAAAGAGGCTTTGTAGTTGTTATATTATATTGGTTAGAATCTTTAGTATAAATTTTCATATTTCTGTCTTAAAGTGTTCTGCATTTTTTAAGATAGTCTTTGATTTAATGATGGGGTGATAAGCAGATAGCATATGATCAGACCTTTATTTCTATCCTATTTCACATATTTACCATTAATAGTAAGATTATTATTATTAACAGCTGCCTCATAATTATCAGCCAAAAAAATAGAAAAAAATATATTGTAAATTGTGATAATTTGATCTAGCCTTAGAAATAATCTAAGTTATTATATTAACCATTAACCTCAAATCAGATAAATCTTTACCCGTGGTAAAATAAAGGAAACAAGTGAATTTAGCTGAGAATTTTGATCATTCTAAAATTTTTTCTTTTGGTAAGTCGTATATATGAAAGTGAACCATACAATTGAGAAGGAAAACACCATATCCTTTTTTTATTTGATAAAATTAGTATCTGTATTATAAATAATTATTGCTTGTTACCAAAATTTTTTGTTTTTATGCTAAATCTAATAATTTTTTAAATCAGAAGAAAATTTTTTAATTCTAATTTTAGTGACATCCAGTAGAATTTCAGTAACTTTAATTAATTATTGTAGAACAAAGGGATGATTAGAAATGAAATTAAAGGTAAAATATGTGTTTGTTCAAATTAAGCAAATTAACTTTGCAAAAATATGTCTCTTTCTTCTTTATCAGTAAATATCACCTTCAATATTTTTTTGATTAATCCTCTGGATGTTTAATAAATACAACACCTGAAAATAAGTCAAACTGATCAAAAAATAGGTCATTAATATCAGAAATTTTTGTTTAAAAAGATTTTTCAAGGTAATCATCAGCAGGAAAATATGCAAAGAAATTTATTTTTTTAGTAAAAATTTCTTGAAGGCTTTTTTTGTTATTTAGAAAATTTTCAAAGGCGTCGTTAGCATCATCAATATTCATTAATGTCTGATCAAAAGTGATAATTATGGTAGTATCACTTATTAATACTTCTTTGTCCTTTTCTTTATTAAGTGAAAGAGGATCAATATCTATTGTAATTAGAGTTACTTTATTGATTTCTAAAGTAAAGACACTATTTTCAGGTTCAATAGTATGCAAAGTATTCTGTCTTTTACTTAGTTGTTACTCTAAAGTATCAGGACAAAAATGAGGTTATTATTTTTGTTAGTTCTTATTTTACTCTTTTTTTGGTCTGCCTATGTTACGAAAAGAGTTTTTAAAAAAATACAAAATAAAATATTTTTAAATAATATTTATATATGTTGCCATTTTTAAAAGATCAGATGTAATATAAATAGATCATATAATTAGACAATTTATAAGAATGTATAAACAATCAAAAACATAAAGTAAAGATTGCAACAAATAAGTAAAGTATTTTTTTTGCAAACTTTTATGAAATTTAAGTGAACTTTACTTTTAATAAAAGTTTTTAAATTTATTATTAATTATTATAATTAATAAGCACGTTTGAAAAAAAATAAAATTCTATATAAAAAACTGTAATTGTAACATTTAATTATTATATTAATTACTGTTTTATGTAATCTTAAAAATATAATAAAATCAATAAAAAAAATTTTTTTAAATTTATTCAAAAAAAATTATAACAAAATAAAGTAATAACTTTTAAATACTTTTATTTGATACTTTTTTTTATAAAGTGTAGTAATTTTATGATATACATTTATATTAATACAGTATTTAATAAATTACACAAATAAATATTCAAAAAAATAAAAAAATTTGAGAATTAATACAGTTATAAAAAGCTATTACTCAACAAATATTAAAAAAAATTAAGATGAAAATTTATATATAAGTAATTTCAGATAAATAGAACATTTTTACTTAATATATAATAAGCAATTTATTTTAACCAAAGTAATCAAATTAATTTGTGAAGTCAAAAAAGTGTGATTTATTTAGTAAAATTATAAAAATAATTATTTCTACATTGTGACAGGTAAAATTTTAGATATATTTAATTGATAGAATAGGAAGTCAATTTTATTGCCATGTAGATCTTCTATGAAGATCAATTTGTCCATTTTATTGCTGTCGATCAATTATATAAATCATTAGATGTCAATTTTATTGCCTTTGATAATCACGTAGATCATAGATGTCCATTTAGTTATCTGCAGATCTGGCAATTTTATTAACACGGCAACTTTATTGCCTAGCAAAATGGCAACTTTATTTCCTTAATATATTTAGTTTAGTTTATTTTATTATTTATTCAACATGTATAAATATCTCTGTATTTTCTTTGAGTCTCAGCACCGACGAGATCTTAATCTTTTAGGTACCAAACTTATTTATTATATTAATAAAGGAGTATAATTAACCAAGTATAAAACTTATCCTTCGTAAACCCTTTGAAACTATTATACATTATCTGTGATCCTTTGCATTCGTGCAATGGGCTAATTATCAAGCATCAACATCATAATTAAAAGGTCTTAATTGGTCTTGGATGGCTTTACATTTGGCATTAGTTCCATCCCTTTTGTTAGATAACTTATTATATGATATTGTATTGATTCGCTGTATTGACTTGGAATCTCTGAAGTGTAATCTCTGAAATATCTTTGAGTTATCTTTGTATTGATTTTGTGTTTATCATCACGTGTTTATTATTGAGAATAATTCTTCAACATTATTGTGAATTCTCACCTGTGATTTCTTAAGTAATTGTCTTAGTTTTATTTACCCTTTGAGATTTTATTTAAAACTACAAAAACTAATGTAACAACATGAATATAATCTAATTAAGATAAAAAAAATTAAATATAAATAGTATCAAACCTGTTGAACAACTTTTACTTAGAAATAAAAGGTGATTGACTTTGATCAAAATGCTCAAATTATCTTGTAAGTTAAAAAAAAGGTTTATTCTATTGATAAATTTATAAAAATATATATTATAATATAAATATTAATCCAATTAAAATTAAATTTTATATACAAATAGTATTGCACTTGTTAAATAATATTTACTTAGAGATGAAAGATGATTGACTTTGACTAAAGTACTCAAATTATTCTATAAAGTTAAAAAAATGTCTGCTCTATTAATAAAGTTACAAAAATACATATTATAATACAAATATTAATCCAATTAAGATTAAATTTTATATACAAATAGTATTGCACTTGTTAAATAATATTTACTTAGAGATGAAAATAAAAATAAAAATAGAAATTGATTATCAGTATACATAAATATTATAATTGTAAATCATTTATTTATGTAATGTAAAATAAAAATATATACTAACTAAAATTAAAAAGGATTAAATTTAAAATCAATCTAAATATTTTTTGTATTAAAAAAATATACATATTCTGAATATAAATTTCAATACATAATCTAGACATTTTCTGTATTAGAAAAATAGATGCATAATTTTAATACAAATTCCAAACATATTCTGTATTAAAAAAAAAAAATTAAATTTCTTTCTGTACATATTCAGAATATTTCTAAATGTTTGAATAAGTTTGAACAATAAGCTTGATCATTTTTTAAGACAAATAATGGTTATCTTTTGAATATTTTCTGATATATCCAGATAAATTTTGGATATTTTCATTGACATTTTCGGATATTTCTTTTTTATAGGACAGTAATAATCATTTGAAGAGTTGATAATAGTTCTTATCACTTGATCCTCGTAAGCTATAACCAAATAATAGCTTTGATACCATAGTGAAATTGCTCAACAACCTCAATTTATATTTAATTATTAATTAAAATTAACAATTATAAATTCTACCACTTTAAAATTTAAACTACTAAGATATTTTTTTACCTGTTTTTGTAATATCACGCATAAAATTTTTCTTTAAATAGCAAATTAAAAATTTTTTGATCAGTTTTATTACACGAATAATAATCTGGATCCAGACTCTGTAATAAAAGTATATTATTACACAGATATAGTAAGCGTTAAATTAATTCTTTTGACAAATCTTTTGAATGATTAGCACGTGATTTGTAACACTACAAATAGCCATTTTTTTCAGTAAATTTGTTCTTTTTTTTAAAAAAAAATGCCTCTTGAACTTTCTGTTAACTACTTAAATGAAATTTTTGAATATTTGAAAAATAAAGATTTACAATCATGCTTACTAGTAAACTGACTTTAGTATGAAATTTCTATTCAAATTTTATGGAGAAAAATTCAAAATTTTAATATTTTACTTATTTGTATTCCTAATAAATCAAAAATAATTTTATCTGAGAATGGAGTTAGAATTTCACCTTCAATTTCCAAATTTCCATTATTTTATTATACAGAGGGTGATTATGAATACCCGAATAATAAGTATTTTTTGTTTATTTGCTTTGTTTATATGTTTACATATATTTTTAATTTAAGCATTTATTTAGAATATAAATAGATGTCGATCACAAATAATAAACAAATAATTTTCTTTTAAACAAAAATGGTTAAAATAAAAGAATTGAATGCTGAATAATATGGGGCAATTCTTTACAGTCACAAACGAGGTAATTTATATCAAAAAATTGCTGATATTATACAATGTGATAAAACAACTGTCTATGATATGATAAAACGTTTTAAAAAAACTGGTTCTGCAATACTAAAAAAACATTATGGCCTGAAGTCACTTTTTAATTCAAATGCACAATCTTCATTCAAAAAGATTGTTACATAAAATTCAAAGCATCGTCGCCTTACCACTCAAAAAATTCAAGAATTATGGACTAAAAAAAAAAAGTTTCAACTATTACAATTCGTCAGATTCTTAAAAAAGTCAGCTTACATTTGTGTGTTATCCACGCTAAACTATTAATTTCTAAAAATAATAAAGAAAAAAGATTGGCTTAGACATTGAAATGAGAAGATTGAACAATTGCAAATGGAAGAAAGTTATATAGTCTGATAAATCAATATTTAGCCAATTTTCATAAGATTGTAGTTTACATATGTAGCATATATCAAAAGAAGAATTTGATCCTTCTTGTTTAACTGCTACAGTAAAGTAAAGTCCCAGTCAAATATTTTGGGAATACTTTTCATAGTATGGGTTGGGACCTCTTGTCTTGTTCCTCTTCACGAATCTGTAATAGGACAAAGATATGCAAAAGTGTTACTAAGGCATGCTATTCCTTCAATTTACAAATTAGTTTCTCGCAAACAAAAAATTTTCAAGAGGATAATGCCCCATCTCATCGAGCAAAGATTGCTGCTGATGTTTGTAATACCTCTAAGATTTTCATGCTACCCTAGCCTGCACAAAGCCCTGATTTAAATCCTATTGAAAATCTTTGAAATGAAGTTAATAAAAAACTTCATAACTTGCCTAATAAACCTAAAAATGTGAAAGATTTAAAATATAAGGTAAAATATGCTTAGCGTTCAATTCTACTTGAGTATATTTAAAATTTAGTTGAAAGTATACCCTGTCGCATTCAAGCATGTATAGTAGCCCAAGATGGTTCAACAAAGTATTAGTTTTTAATTTTTTTTTAATAAAATATATAAGAAATATTCAGAACAAATAAATTTTTTGCTTATTCTAAAAAAAAAAGTTAATATAATAAGTAAATTCAAATAGTTTAATTAATCTTTTGGGTATTCATGATCACCCTTTATACATTATTTATCAAGAGTCTTCAGATTAATGATATTTGTAATTCAATAAATAAATTTCAATTTCATCTGTAATAGTGACAAGATAGGAAATATTTAAAATATTAATGAATTAAACCTCTTTAAAGCACTTGGACAACCTTAAGAAATATACCATTTATCAACTATCTTGAAGGAGAAGATTGTTTAAGAGATCTTTCTAAATTGAAGTGTAATTTAAATATTTATTTTGAATTTTTTTATAAATTATCTTGAATTAGTCATAATTTATAATCGTTAAAGATAACTTTTGGAGATAACTTAAATGGATTAACAGAATTAGTTTTTGTTCAAAATTATATAAAGAACTTGGAGTTTTTTTTGGTCGTTGTCATTTAACGAATACAAGTCAACTGTTTACAAATTTTCTTATACATTAACCAAGTTACATATTACTGAATTTTGTCATCATATACTATGATTACTATGGTCATTCATTTCAGAACTTTCGAATTTAAAAGAATTTTCATTAACATTAATTAACGAAATAGATGATTTAAAATATTTTTAAGAAACTTCAATATGCTGCCTTACTGCAATTTCAAATTTTAAATTTTAAAGATAAATGTCCAGATGATAAATACTTAATTAAATTTCTGAAAAATAATGGAAAGAATTTAAAGGAACTTGGTCTTTATGAAAATATTAATGGTTTATTAAATTCAGAATTAGAAAATTTTGTTTAAATCTGAGGTCTTTACGTGTAGCTTTTCATGAAGATATTGTACCACTGAAAGGAATTTTAATAGTTGTTAACAATTAGAAAGAATAGAGAATTTGCGTTACGAATTCCCTTTAGACAAGTGCGAATTATTAAAGATTATCATCGAACTTTCACCAAAAAATATTTATGTGTTATCAATTGATTTGGAAGTTCATAAATATCTGGAAATATTTTTTTAAATGGGAATTAAGGTCTATTTTGAAACGCTGGGCGAATCGTATGTCATGTATTTCTTTCTCTTTGATATTTATTCAAGTTCAGAAATGGATATAGAACTGTTAAAAAGTAATATCAAAAAATTGAAGAATTTAGAAAATTGGACGCTATTGAAGTATTCAAAATTATTAACTTGGAATAATTGACAGATAAAACATATAGTTTAGAATTTTGTTCTTAATTACTAAAGTTTATAATGTATCTTGTAATAAATTCTTGGTTTTTTATTTATTTTTATGGTTACCAACTGTAAGTTTTCAGTTATTTTCCAATATCTAAACCATTTCTAAATTATTGTCTTTTTAAGTAAAACTACACTATAAAATTATATGCTTTAATCAACCTGAAGGTATTGTAAAAATTATTATAATTTAACAAGGTACAATATATTGCAATTCTTCTCCAATAATAATAAATACGTTGGGACTTTATTGCTCATTACTTTGATCAATAATGTTGTTACTTCCAGTGTTATAATTTTTCCAGTTAACGTGTTCGTTTAGTTTTTGATGAATGATTAAACTAAATAGAAGGCCAAAGAGAAATTTAAAAGTAAAACAACTTTACTATTACCTTATTCTGAACTGTATTTATAGCAGAAACCGCTAACAAAATTTGGATATTCAAAATTTTTATGCACAAATCTCAATGGAATTGAGCTTATTATTGTACAATACTGCTTTTCATCCTATATTTAAAATTAAAGTTTGTTAGAAGGTCAAATATTTGTTCATAAATATCATGACGCCTCATGCTATCCATTTATGATCGCGTAAACCACTATGTTTGTCATAAAAATTTGAACAGATATCAATAAATTCGAATACATATTCTCTATTATAGTTGAGAATAGCCAATAGATTACGACAGCAAACGTTTTTAGAAATTAGAAAGACACCGTGAAAATCTATAAAATACTAGGTAACGGGATCCGAAGCGTTCAAATTATTTGATCAACCATATATAAATTATTTGGTAGACCGCGTATGGTTTCAGCTCTACGCAGAAAATAAATATATTTGTTAAGCTACTGACCTTATTGCAAAAGATTAAATAGTTTATTTTTGCATCACATATCAAATCGGTAAATCTGTCTCAGAATTAACTCAGCAATTTATTACGTCTTAAATAAATTTGGCATGACTAAAAAAAGGTTTGATTCTAAGAATATATAAATATTTTTGGTTTGTTTTTACACAATTTATTTAAATTATTTGCATTCTAACCTAGACTATTTAAAATGACTCTGTAAGACAAGTGAAGGTTTTTTTTTCCTGCTCACGCCCATGGTAAAAAGGAGAAGTTCTACTGACGGATCTTCTAGATATCCAATTTTTGTTGTTTTTTTTTTAAAAAAAACAGAGAACTTATAAATTTGATCATAAAAAATATTATTGGAAAATGAACATCATATGTCATCTTGTAATGTGATGGGATATCAATAATTTGAATAAATTGCTGACGTGGTCTATGTTTTGATAATTTATTGTAAAAGAATGTTAGATTCTACTTATAAAAATGGTGTCAAAGGAGATTTTTTTAAAAAAAATAAATTGGCATCAGTTTGATTTGCTTTTAAAAGTGCAGCAATACCTTTCCAATCGTATGCTTTTTGCAACATATTTTCACAACGTTCTAAGGCCTCATCGAAATTGTCAAATGTGTCTCCTCAAATTTCATTAATTCCATTACATCTTGAAGTTTTCCACCTTCAGAATTTTATTTGGCAAAAGGTAAACATTTTTTAATTATAAGGATCTCTGAATACTCAACACCATTCCATTAACGAAGACGATGATTTAAAACTGTCGAATTGCAATTTCAACAACGAACGTTAATATATATATATATAGCCATGTAAAGATACAAACCATAATAATAATACCTAATAAAATTCCCGCAATAAACCCATAGGACTCCATAGAAATTACAAAAGCTGCAATAGCACTTTCACATTCAAGTCCTTAATGAAAAATAAGCGCGCCTACTACCATATCCGACGACACATGATAAAAAGTACAATAGCAGTTGCATCAACAAGCATCGATCTTGATACACGACTGAGCCTATTTGTAAAATTACCCAAATCAAATAAAACTAATTAAAAGGTATAATCCTTAAAAATCTTGAAAGTTGAATTTTCCTAATAACTTACTTTAGAAGCTAATGATAACATGTTCGAAAGACCATGAGCCTAACATGTAACATTATCGAAAATCTTAATGCAGGTACGTTGATTGGGACGTGTAAAAAACCTAAATTAAGAAATGCAATAAAAAAAAAAAATAAATAAATTTTAATCTTTGATTGGAACACTACTGAAAAAAGTTATCGCAAACCTTGTCGGCACAGACATAATAAGGTAGATTTAAACCACGAGCCTCCTTCCTTAAAGTGAAGGTTAATACTCCCGTTGGACCTGTAAACAAAAAAAATTAAATTAATAAAAATAAAAAAGAATGTACATAGCTCTAAAATCAAAAAACTGTTTTAGTAAAGAACCGTACCTGATTGCGTATCACAAAAACAAAATAATTGATCGTTATTTCTAAAATATCTAGGATCTCAGCAGGCGTGGTTGCAAACTCTATTCTCCCTCTACACGATTCTATCTAAACAAGCCGTCCTAGTAAAGAAGCAGTTATATAATATATCATAAAAATAATAAAGCAATATCAATAAAAGTTCACCTGGATCAAATAAATAATAAAGTCATCCATAATTCGCCTTTACTTTCAACTTGGTTAAATGAAACCTGAGAAATATTATACTAAACTATAAAGAGTTTCTCTTAAGTCCATTGCTTGGAACGTTCCACGTGCAAGACCTGCAATCCCACCGAGAATTACCACTCTAGATCCTTTAACAGATATAACTACCCAACAGACCCAGGAGATGTTGCGTGGCAACTAACTGTACGCAGGTGTGGAAGGCGTTCCCCTCCGCCGAGCTGTCAATCCCACCGAGAATTACCACTCTAGATCCTTTAACAGATATAACTACCCAACAGACCCAGGAGATGTTGCGTGGCAACTAACGGTCGACAGATTAGAGGTGCAATGGTGAAAAAATATAACTAAATTTTTTAAACGACAGCGAATTTTTTGGTAATTAACTTTACAATTTTGATTATCAATCAATTTAACCAGACGTGACGCGACAATCAAATTCTCACGTGATATCAATTTTTCGATAAACGGGGGTTACACAGTCTGATCAGTAATCAGAAAACTGGTTACACAAGCAAAGAATATATAGTTTCTCGTCACATATTTATAGAAAAGCAGCCGATCTCAAAAAATAAGACCTCTCTAAATAAACGAATTGTTTTTATCAAAATCGGACCACTGTAACTTTGCAATGATTACTTTTTTTCTCGCTAATTTATGAAAACAAATTGAAAAGTTATCATTTTATCATTTCATGCTTTTATTGTCTTTAAAAAGTACTTTATTCTATAAATTTTGCTTCACTATATTACTATTATATAAAATTTGTCCTTTTGATATGGCTTCATTGGAGAAAGTTGTTTCTTTTTTAAGGTAATCCAAAGTTAAAGATATTAAACTTTTTTTTTTCTTGTACTTCGCATTGTCCCTAAAGGCCCAAAGTAACCACTGTAACTCACTCACTAAAAACATTTTTGAAAATTCTTCTTCAGCACCATCCAATTTTGCTCAGATTTGAAGCTGTACTAATGCTAGAATAGTATCCTTTGAAATGTTAGATTTTTCATCAATATATGTTTATTTTTAGTTTTAGAGGTTTTGGAGGTTTTGGATAAATTCTGAATATATTTATATATAATCCATCCCAATAATGTAAGAAATCTTTAAATGCTTCAGCTGCTTTTAAAAAGAGAATTTTTTCAGGTTTCAAATAAGAATCAGCCAAAAAAGAGTGTGTATACTATTTGGTATTGTTTTCTTACTAAAAGTAAGTTTAATTACATTTTGTAAAATCAAGTATACAATAAGCCATTGAGTTGGAAAATTATCTTAATACCAAATCCCTAAACATTAATAATTATTAAGATGATTTTCAAAGTAAGTATTCCAATTGAATTCAAATTTTTTGGAATAATTTTTTCACCATTTTTTTAATAATGTTTTGCTATTTTTGTAGTAATTTATCATTAGAATCCTAGCAAAATATAGTTACTATAAGATTACATCATTTTTTTTAAAGAGAAGCAATTTTAACATTTTTTTGATTAATATTTTCATCATGTGATTCTAACAGTATTTCAATTCTCTTTATAATTAAATTATCTGCAAAAAGATTTTTAAAAGATTACTTAAAAGAGATAATAATTGTATTAATCAGATAAAGTGCTTTTGATCAATAATATTTCTTCATTTTTTACTGAATTTTTTTTGTTTTTAATAGTCTCTAATTGCTAAGATAATATTTTAGATAATATTTATATAAATAATTAAATAAAATTATAGTATATATCTTTTTTTTAATGTAATAATATCAACTCCAATATTATTAGCTTTTTCATAATTAAAATTTTTTACTTCAGATAAAACTAATACTATCACTCAATATTTATTTAGAGTATATCCAAAAGATTTGAGAATATGTGTTAAAGTGCTTTCATTATATTAATAAATATTACTAAAAAGTTTTTTAAATATATCTTGTGAAATGCATCTTGGTTGAATCATTGGATCTAAATATTTTTTTTAAAAAATAATTAATTATTTCAAGAAATTTATTAATAAACAAAGTTAAATCAAATTAATATTATGATAAAATCTATTCTTTAGGATCTTTTTTTTTGTTTATTATCATCTATAAATCAATTATAAATTTTTTTAAATTATTAATACGTAAATCTTCTAAAAATTGAAACTGATTTTATTATATATAATTTGATAATACTTATATGAATATTTAATAAATTCATTTATAAAAAAGCAAAATTAATATTTTAAAAATTATTTTAATTATAATAATAATTTTTACTTATTCTTATTCCTTCTAAAAATTTTTAAGTTCATCAATAAATGCTAATGTATCTTTAACTTCTTTGATAAAATATATTATATAAAATCAACATGCATCTTACTTTAGAAAGTTAACTAACTATAAAATTGAAATTTTATAAGTTATATAATTTGAGCTGTTACATATTTAGTTATATAATCATATATGCCTTTTATATATTCCTATATTAATTCAGTTAAATAAATATATATAATTAGTATATTTTATTTATTAAATTTATTAAATATTAAAATTTTATTAAGAATAAAAACCTAATATAAATTAGCAAAATAACATAACAAAAATATTACTAAAATTCACTGATTAATTTCCTATTAAAAATAAGCAAAAAATAATAAAAATATGATTTATTCTTTCTCAAAATCTTTTGTAATTATCTTAAATTTAAATAAATAAATAATATATAATTAATTATAATTAATTTTTTCAAAAATCATCTAAAAAATGTAAAAAAATCAATAAAATATATAAAAAATAAAAAAATCAATCCTAAATTACCAAAAAAAATGCAAACTTAATACTTTATTTCATTATTTATTTCAAACTTATAGGTCTTTTAAAATCTTTATTTTTCTTAAAAATATTAAATAATAATAAATAAAATAATAAAAAATAGATTTTTCTCCTTAAAACCACTTAAAATACATAAAATAAATAATAAAATAATAAAAATTGACATTTTTTTCTAAAATTACCTCAAAAATATAATAATAAATAATAATATAAAAATAAAAAAAATTAATCTCAAATCATCCAAAAAATGTACAGATAATAATAAAATAATAAAAATTAATCCTTTTCCTCAAAATCTCTTAAAAAATATAATAATAAATAATAAAATAATATAAAATTTACACTTTCTTCACTAAAATTGCCTAAAAATGTAAAAAATGACAAAAATGACAAAAATTCAACCCTTCCCTCTACCAAAATTGCCTAATAAATATAATAAAAATTGTAAAATTATATAAAAATTAACTCTTCTTCTCTACTAAGATAACTTAAAAATGTAATAAAAAATTGTAAAAATCAATCCTTCATTTCATTTTTGATAGCAAATAAAATCTATTGATTTCTGTACATTCTTCATTTTTGATCACATATTCTTTGATCATGATATTTTCTTCAATTTTTGTATCATAAATTATATCAAATTACACTTTATATAACCATTTTAGAGTAATACTTTATATCATTATTGTATTTTTATTTTCATTACATTTGTGATGATAATACAACATTAGAATCTAATACTTTTCTAAAAAATATTATGTTTAAAAGAAAAAAATAAGAAAGAATATTAGCAAAATATAATAAATAAAATTAATAAATACTAAATTAAAGAAAATATTAAATTTCAGCTAATCATCAAAAATAATTATATATATTTTTTGTGATTTTTATCATTTATTTTTGCTAATTTCTGGTAAATAATATTAATAATCACTAAAAATTTAAAGTCAAGAATGCTATTTGTATTTTAAAAATTATTTTTATTTTACTTTTTTATAGCTTTTACTTGTTAAGCTATTTCTAATAAATAATAAATAATATTAAATTATTGATTCAAATAGATTCAAATTTAAAATATATTTTACTTATTTATATTATGTACTTAAATATTATTATAAATTTATCACTACTATAAATAGTTCTTTTTAATTTTTTTATTCTTTAAACTGATTGATGTAATTTATAAAAAACTTTTAGTTAGTTTATCAGTTAATTAACAGAAAGCTAATGTTACGCCAGTTCTTTTAGATTGCAGGTAAATCATCTACTATATCACAGTTTAGCAGAAGGTTTCCTTCACACAGAAGAGTAAGAATAAAAATACGAGACAAGAATTTAAAGAAAATCACGATAAACTGAGTGAAATATATGCAAATAATTATTTAACAAACAAAAGACTAGTACTGCCTCTATCAGCACGTCTGTACTAAACAGTTTATTTATCAAAAGAATTATTCAAGACAAGATGGTTCTCTCTGTTTTTACATCGATGAAT